GCTGACACATCATTTGTGTTCTGATTTCCTAGTACAGTCTATACAGAAGGCGTTGATGAAGATCTGTGTGTCACCTCTGTACATTTATGCTGGGTGTTCTTGACTCAGTGGAGCCAGGACATTGGAACACTGTTTGTAGACATGGCCGGTTACACAATCATATCTGGTCAAAGTGTGTCTAGCGCTTGGTTAACCTCAGATTTGCTATTTGACTTATTGATTCACAAAATGATGTTTGTCACCAGCATGAACAGTTGTGAAAGCTCTGATGTAGAGAAGACCTGCCATGTCCAGCAACTGTGCCAGTCTTTCGTTTTGGTGAACATGAAATACTTGTCTTCAGTTATCAATAGCCTTTTGCCTTCATTTTGATTTTTGTTTGTAAATTGTTGAGTTTATACTGGGGATTTGCCATGACACATTTGGTGTCAGGCTTTTGTTTCATATTTTACTGACGTAATTCATGCATAGACCATCATTTTCTTGCAGCAGTTTCTGAATCTTTTATGTCATATTTTATTTGTGTACAGACCATGATTCCTTGGTGCCAGTTGTAAATCTTTTAAGTCAAATTTTACTGGCTTATTGAAGTCATATTTTACTGGCTTATTGAAGTCAAATTTTACTGGCTTATTGAAGTCATATTTTACTGGCTTATTGTAATCCAGTACAGACCATGATTTCTTGGTGAAGCTTTCTACAACTTTTATTTTCTGTACTTTCATGATGAACCATTTTGACTTAGTGATTGATGTTGACTTGTAAGCTGACAATCTGCGTGCAGTTAAATGTTTATGAAATCCAGGCAAGTGAGACTACTAGGCTGGGTAGACAAGATGGTCGTGACAGAGAGACAAAAAGGGTGTACACCCAAAAGTTCTGTTCTTGGGGAGAAACAGAGAGAGAGAGAGAGAGTGGAAAGGGGGGTGGGGCATCTGAAAGTTGAGACTCAAGATAGTGTCTGACAGTGTGCATGTGAAGGGAGAAGTTAACTGTTGGCAGGTGCAGGAGGGGATGAGAAAGGGAGACATGAGGTGATGGAGATCACATCTGTAGAAAAGACTTCAGTATCCAGAAGTTACTGAGCATCTGAGAGAGACTTGTGCTGGAAGAAAACAGCTTCACAAGTTCTGATGGCCTAGAATGACTAAGAGAGAAAGTGTCTGTATTCTTGTCAGTCTGAAAGTCATCATGACCGTATCTCTGAAAGATAGACTGGAAGCCATGACTCCCGTTCCGACTCATACATTGTGTACTCATTCAGGCCAGTAACAAATTTAACATACTTTATTTGTGTCATTGAACAAATACAAAATGCATACCTTTTAACGTGTCTGTAACTAATTTAATGATGTGATATGTCAGTGAATTACTGTCACATGCTGTGTAATGTCAGAGAACCAGTGTGTTCGTTGACCTGGTCAAGTTTCTGTCTATGATGTCCCAGTTTGTTGGCCTGGTCAAGTTTCTGTATATGGATGCACCAGTATGTTGACCTGGTTAAGTTCCTGTGTATGATGTCCCAGTTTGTTGGCCTGGTCAAGTTTCTGTATATGGATGCACCAGTATGTTGACCTGGTTAAGTTCCTGTGTATGATGTCCCAGTTTGTTGGCCTGGTCAAGTTCCTGTATATGGATGCACAAGTATGTTGACCTGGTTAAGTTCCTGTGTATGATGTCCCAGTTTGTTGACTGGGGCAAGTAATTGTGTGTGTGTGAAATGTGCTGCAGCTGTAAGAGATATGAAGACAGGTCCAAGAGAACACACAACTGTCCCCACTCCACTGCTGGCTGATCTGTGCTAACAGATGCCCAGACTGTCACCACTCCACTGCTGGCTGATCTGTGCAAACAGATGCCCAGACTGTCACCACTCCACTGCTGGCTGATCTGTGCAAACAGATGCCCAGACTGTCACCACTCCACTGCTGGCTGATCTGTGCAAACAGATGCCCAGACTGTCACCACTCCACTGCTGGCTGATCTGTGCAAACAGATGCCCAGACGGTCAGCATGCCTCTCTCTTGCCTACAGTGGTAACAAAGGAAGCTGTGGACACTACGATGTGGACTGTTATGTCCCTCGGGACAATGTCATTGGCACATATGACACAAACAACTCAGACATACTTTGATGTCAGGGTAGGCATTTAATACCAGTTATATTTTACATGAAGTTAGTCACCACATGAGTTCTCTCCTACAACCATAACTACTGGAGCAAATGGTTTCTGTCCTCATGCTGTCTACAAGGCTAGCATGCATGCAAATACAGAGCATCATGTACCTCTACTTGACTGGGTTGACTAATGCAGATTCCCACAGCTCTGATGGCTTTTGTCTACCTGATGACTTTCCTCCTGGCAGTTTACACACAGCCTTCCTCAATTCTTTTAACAGTGTGTTGATAAATTGTATGTGTGTGTGTATGTGTTTTAGGGTGTGATATTCATGACGCTATTGTCTGGATGTAATGTACCGTCCTGTATAATTCTTCATCCTGTCCTCCAGCCAATCACAGCTCTAACTTATCCTCTGTGCAGGTTCTCAGCTGCCTGGCAACCACACTGCTGGTAAGCTTTCACTGACCATCTCACATCAATGTCTAATCTATCAATCAGAACCACAGGTTGGCTGTGCCAGCCATTTACAGTCTCTCACACAGAACCACACACTGGCAGCACCAGTTACTTACAGTCTCTCACACAGAACCACACACTGGCAGTAACAGTTACTTACAGTCTCTCACACAGAACCACACACTGGCAGTGCCAGTTACTTACAGTCTTTCCCACACAACCACACACTGGCAGTGCCAGTTACTTACAGTCTTTCCCACACAACCACACACTGGCAGTGCCAGTTACTTACAGTCTCTCACACAGAAGCACACACTGGCAGTGCCAGTTACTTACAGTCTCTCACACAGAACCACACACTGGCAGTGCCAGTTACTTACAGTCTCTCACACAGAAGCACACACTGGCAGTGCCAGTTACTTACAGTCTCTCACACAGAACCACACACTGGCAGTGCCAGTTACTTAGTCTCTCACACAGAACCACACACTGGCAGTGCCAGTTACTTAGTCTCTCACACAGAACCACACACTGGCAGTGCCAGTTACTTAGTCTCTCACACAGAACCACACACTGGCAGTGCCAGTTACTTAGTCTCACACACAGAACCACACACTGGCAGTGCCAGTTACTTAGTCTATCACACAGAACCACACACTGGCAGCGCCAGCTACTTACAATCTCTCACACAGAACCACACACTGGCAGCACCAGCTACTTACAATCTCTCACACAGAACCACACACTGGCAGTGCCAGTTACTTACAGTCTCTCACACAGAAGCACACACTGGCAGTGCCAGTTACTTACAGTCTCACACACAGAACCACACACTGGCAGTGCCAGTTACTTACAGTCTCTTACACAGAACCACACACTGGCAGCACCAGTTACTTACAGTCTCTCACACAGAACCACACACTGGCAGTGCCAGTTACTTAAGTCTCTCACACAGAACCACACACTGGCAGTGCCAGTTACTTACAGTCTCTCACACAGAACCACTCACTGGGAGTGCCAGTTACTTACAGTCTCTCACACAGAACCACACACTGGCAGTGCCAGTTACTTACAGTCTCTCACACAGAACCACACACTGGCAGTGCCAGTCACTTAGTCTCTCACACAGAACCACACACTGGCAGCACCAGTTACTTACAGTCTCTGACACAGAACCACACACTGGCAGCACCAGTTACTTACAGTCTCTCACACAGAACCACACACTGGCAGTGCCAGTTACTCAGTCTCTCACACAGAACCACACACTGGCAGTGCCAGTTACTTACAGTCTCTCACACAGAACCACACACTGGCAGTGCCAGTTACTTACAGTCTCTCACACAGAACCACACACCGGCTGTGCCAGTTACTTACAGTCTCTCACACAGAACCACACACCGGCTGTGCCAGTTACTTACAGTCTCTCACACAGAACCACACACCGGCTGTGCCAGTTACTTACAGTCTCTCACACAGAACCACACACCGGCTGTGCCAGTTACTTACAGTCTCTCACACAGAACCACACACCGGCTGTGCCAGTTACTTACAGTCTCTCACACAGAACCACTCACTGGCAGTGCCAGTTACTTACAGTCTCTCACACAGAACAACACACTGGCAGTGCCAGTTACTTACAGTCTCTCACACAGAACCACACACTGGCAGTGCCAGTCACTTAGTCTCTCACACAGAACCACACACTGGCAGCACCAGTTACTTAAGTCTCTGACACAGAACCACACACTGGCAGCACCAGTTACTTACAGTCTCTCACACAGAACAACACACTGGCAGTGCCAGTTACTTACAGTCTCTCACACAAAACCACACACTGGCAGTGCCAGTTACTTACAGTCTCACACAGAACCACACACTGGCAGTGCCAGTCACTTAGTCTCTCACACAGAACCACACACTGGCAGTGCCAGTTACTAACAATCTCTCACACAGAACCACACACTGGCAGCACCAGCTACTTACAATCTCTCACACAGAACCACACACTGGCAGCACCAGTTACTTACAATCTCTCACACAGAACCACACACTGGCAGCACCAGTTACTTACAATCTCTCACACAGAACCACACACTGGCAGTGCCAGTTACTTACAATCTCTCACACAGAACCACACACTGGCAGCACCAGTTACTTACAGTTTCTCACACAGTACCACACACTGGCAGTGCCAGTTACTTACAATCTCTCACACAGAACCACACACTGGCAGCACCAGTTACTTACAGTCTCTCACACAGAACCACACACTGGCAGCACCAGTTACTCACAGTCTCTCACACAGAACCACACACTGGCAGCACCAGTCACTTAGTCTCTGACACAGAACCACACACTGGCAGTGCCAGCCACCCACATAACAGAAATGATGTGTTTCCCCAACATCGGCAGAGAGCACTCAGTACCAATCCTGCCGGGTACTGGCCACCCCATGCTCGCCTTTATACCGGAACTCCTTGCCGTCCTGGTTGTATTTGTAGACATGCTTCACTTTGAAGTACTCTGAACTCAGTTGGTATGTCTGCAGGATACGCCTGGTTTCATTCTGTACTGTTTCCTTGTCCATCTTCCAAATGTCTTCTGAGGGGTTGTCCTCCACCAACTTCACCTGCCAGTTAGTAAGGCAACATCATTATCTGACGACAGCAGCACATAGTGACAGCAGCAGTAGCTGGGCAGTAACAGAAGCAGTAGTGTGACAGTAACAGAAGCGTGACAGTAACAGAAGCAGTAGCTGGGCAGTAACAGCAGCAGTAGTGTGACAGTAACAGAAGCAGTAGCTGGGCAGTAACAGCAGCAGTAGTGTGACAGTAACAGCAGCAGTAGCTGCAGTAACAGAAGCAGTAGTGTGACAGTAACAGAAGCAGTAGTTGGGCAGTAACAGCAGCTGTAGTGTGATAGTAACAGCAGCAGTAGGATGACACTAACAGCATCAGTAGCTGGGCAGTAACAGCAGCAGTAGGATGACAGTAACAGCAGCAGTAGCTGGGCAGTAACAGCAGCAGTAGGATGACAGTAACAGCAGCAGTAGCTGGACAGTAACAGGAGCAGTAGAGTGATAGTAACAGCAGCAGTAGGATGACAGTAACAGAAGCAGTAGGACAGTAACAGCAGTGGTAGTAGGACAGTAACAGCAGCAGTAGTTGGGCAGTAACAGTAGTTGGACAGTAACAGCAGCAGTAGTGTGACAGTAACAGCAGCTATTGGGTGACAGCCGCTGGAGATGACAGTACCAGTAAGGTGACAGTAACAGCAGTGGTAGACTGACTATGACAGGAGGATGACAGTAACAGCAGCAGTATGATTCCTTTTCTCTCTCTTTGCATAGGAGGATGACAGTAACAGCAGCAGTATGATTCCTTTTCTCTCTCTTTGCATCTGCCTTTAAAAGAGCGGCTGACTTGCTGTGTTGTGATCTGCAATCTCTACACCCTTTGGGCCCACCAAACCTGATTTATGCAAATGCTAATTAATCATCTTTTATGGCAAGCTTGTTGTGATCTGCAATCTCTACACCCTTTGGGCCCCACCAAACCTGATTTATGCAAATGCTAATTAATCATCTTTTATGGCAAGCTTGTTGTGATCTGCAATCTCTACACCCTTTGGGCCCCACCAAACCTGATTTATGCAAATGCTAATTAATCATCTTTTATGGCAAGCTTGTTGTGATCTGCAATCTCTACACCCTTTGGGCCCACCAAACCTGATTTATGCAAATGCTAATTAATCATCTTTTATGACAAGCTTGTTGTGAAAGAAAAGGGGGGCGGGGTTGGGGGTTATTCTCTGTCCTCCTGCTGCAAAAGTGGGAAACCAGAACCAACTGGGTGAGGATGACAGTAGCAGTAGGTGCTTGACAGCAACAACAGACAGCCATGACAGTAATAACAAGAAGAGCAGGCTTACAGTAACACTAGGCTAACAGTATTACTAGGCTAACAGTATTACTAGGCTGACCGTAACAACAGAAGGCTAACAGTAACAACAGAAGGCTAACAGTAACAACAGAAGGCTAACAGTAACAACAGAAGGCTAACAGTAACAACAGAAGGCTGACAGTAACAACAGAAGGCTAACAGTAACAACAGAAGGCTGACAGTAACAACAGAAGGGCTGACAGTAGCAACAGAAGGCTAACAGTAGCAACAGAAGGGCTGACAGTAACAACAGAAGGGCTGACAGTAACAACAGAAGGGCTGACAGTAGCAACAGAAGGGCTGACAGTAGCAACAGAAGGGCTGACAGTAGCAACAGAAGGGCTGACAGTAGCAACAGAAGGCTGACAGTAGCAACAGAAGGGCTGACAGTAGCAACAGAAGGGCTGACAGTAGCAACAGAAGGGCTGACAGTAGCAACAGAAGGGCTGACAGTAGCAACAGAAGGGCTGACAGTAGCAACAGAAGGGCTGACAGTAGCAACAGAAGGCTGACAGTAGCAACAGAAGGCTGACAGTAGCAACAGAAGGGCTGACAGTAGCAACAGAAGGGCTGACAGTAGCAACAGAAGGGCTGACAGTAGCAACAGAAGGCTGACAGTAGCAACAGAAGGGCTGACAGTAGCAACAGAAGGCTGACAGTAGCAACAGAAGGGTTGACAGTAGCAACAAAAGGCTGACAGTAGCAACAGAAGGCTGACAGTAACAACAGAAGGCTGACAGTAGCAACAGAAGGGCTGACAGTAACAACAGAAGACTGACAGTAACAACAGAAGGCTGACAGTAGCAACAGAAGGGCTATTTAAATAGGACATACCTCTGACCAAGCCTGTGCTATCTCATCACTCTGATCATTTATACGATGTCTGACTACAAATTCTCCGTTGAACCGTAAGTAGCTGTGTTTGTAATCCTCTTCATCTTTTGGCAAACCATAAGGAAATGTTACTGGCTTTATGCGAATCAGATGCTGAACTGAGCGAAGCTTCTCGTTGATTTCTGGTGTGTTTTTGAGAACAACTGGGTTGTATGACTGCAGAAATCATAACACAAATTGTTATACACTTTCCCACAACAATCTGATTACAGGTTCTTACAACAATTGAATATACAGGTTCTTACAACAATTGAATATACAGGTTCTTACAACAATTTGAAATACAGGTTCTTACAACAATCTGATATACAGGTTCTTACAACAATTTAATATACAGGTTCTTACAACAATCTGATATACAGGTTCTTACAACAATTTAATATACAGGTTCTTACAACAATCTGATATACAGATACCCATAACAATCTGATATACAGGTACCCATAACAATCTGATATACAGGTACCCATAACAATCTGATACACAGGTGCCCATAACAATCTGATATATGGGTGCCCATAACAATCTGATATACAGGTGCCCATAACAATATGATATATGGGTGCCCATAACAATCTGATATACAGGTGCCCCCAACAATCTGATATACAGGTTCCGTCAATAATCTGATATACAGGTGCCCACAATTTGATTTACAGGCCCCCACAACAATGATCTACAGATGCCCACAACAATCCTACTTACAGATGTCAACATCAATCCTACATACAGGTGTCCACAACAATTTGATCTACATTTTCCCAGACATTTGATAAACAGGTGCTCACAACTGGATACACCAACAATTTGATCTACATTGTCCCAGACATTTGATAAACAGGTGCCCACAACTGGATAAACACCTACAACAGTGCCCTACCCATGTCCTGGGATGGAAGCCCCAGCAGTGGCACCATAATGCTCCATGAGGGTCACTAAACCTCACACTTCTGGCACTGTCGCATGGACAGGGAGGGTGCAGGTCTCAGTCACCATCTATCACCCACATACTACACACCAACCAGCGCACCCACATAGCAATCATCACCCACACACTAGCAACCACCCATACACCAACCATCACACCCACATACCAATCATCACCCACACACTAGCAACCACCCATACACCAACCATCACACCCACATACCAATCATCACCCACACACTAGCAACCATCCATACACCAACCATCGCACCCAGATACCAATCATCACCCACATACTAGCAACCACCCATATACCAAACATCGCACCCACATACTAGCCACCACCCATACACCAGCCATTCAGTCAACACCAACCAATCAGTCAACACCAATCATTCAGTCAACACCAACCATTACCTTCTCAAACAGGCCAAACTCCTTGAGCACATCCTTCTCCCAGTAGGGTCTAGTGTAGTGATCCTTGATCCTGTAAACCATATGTAACAGCGATGGTTCTGCTGGTGGCCTGCACTCTTTCTCTTGTTGATATTTGAGAATAGGCTCTGCCCAAGACTTGTCGGCTGGGTCAAACCACTTCTGAATTGGTCTCTTCCGTTTTGGTCTGAGGGCTACTCGGTGGTTCCTGACTTGCAGCAACTGGGGCAGCCTTAGGGCTGAGAGTAAGGGTATCAACTGTTGGCAGAGAAACCATATATGATACAGGGATAGTTTTGGCAATTAAACAACATGTAATATGAGTATCTTCTTTTGCATCATCCTCAAAAAGGCAACTGGTTTGTCGTATGGTGGTTTACAGATAGGCTGCGACATCTGTGCCTTTCAGCTTAATACATCCTATTTCAGCAAACCCCTAATTAGTCGCCATTTACAATGATTAAAGGAACAGTGTGTGTCCCCCACCCCAGCAGGAGCTCCAGAATTCACAGGATAAAGAAATATTTCTTCTTCTTCATGGTGTTTATTGGCTGCAAGCTCTCGCAGACAGTCTGGGTTGTTCATCTACATGGTGTTTATTGGCTGCAAGCTCTCGCAGACAGTCTGGGTTGTTCATCTACATGGTGTTTATTGGCTGCAAGCTCTCGCAGACAGTCTTGGTTGTTCGTCTACATGGTGTTTATTGGCTGCAAGCTCTCGCAGACAGTCTTGGTTGTTCGTCTACATGGTGTTTATTGGCTGCAAGCTCTCGCAGACAGTCTTAGTTGTTCGTCTACTTCTGGACTTTAGTAGATTTCTAGAACCTGAGTTTTGAATGCACATCCATTTAACAGATCTGGCTTATTTGCATGCAGACTGTTGGTTTCCTTGCCTGTGGCAGATGACCTCTGACTTCAAAGGAAACATTCCTAATTAGACACTCTGTAACATGCTTGTTAGGGGTACAGACAGTCCTCTCAAATGAAGAAGTGAAACAGCTCAGGGAAATAGTCGGATTTAATTAATTAATCTATTGGCACAGACACAAAATAGTGATTTCAAAAGCATGGCAGTGCTACCATTCTAGTGTTGGTTCCAGGGCTGATAGGTAGACAACCACCATGTCTACCTCACTGGGGCCAATAGGTAGACAACTAAGCAACCACCGTGTCTACCTCACTGGGGCTGATAGGTAGACAACTAAGCAACCACCATGTCTTCCTCACTGGGGCTGATAGGTAGACAACTAAGCAACCACCGTGTCTACCTCACTGGGGCTGATAGGTAGACAACTAAGCAACCACCATGTCTAGCTCACTGGGGCTGATAGGTAGACAACTAAGCAACCACCATGTCTAGCTCACTGGGGCTGATAGGTAGACAACTAAGCAACCACCATGTCTACCTCACTGGGGCTGATAGGTAGACAACTAAGCAACCACTGTGTCTACCTCACTGGGGCTGATAGGTAGACAACTAAGCAACCACTGTGTCTACCTCACTGGGGCTGATAGGTAGACAACTAAGCAACCACCATGTCTACCTCACTGGGGCCGATAGGTAGACAACTAAGCAACCACCATGTCTACCTCACTGGGGCCGATAGGTAGACAACTAAGCAACCACCATGTCTAGCTCACTGGGGCTGATAGGTAGACAACTAAGCAACCACCATGTCTTCCTCACTGGGGCTGATAGGTAGACAACTAAGCAACCACCATGTCTACCTCACTGGGGCTGATAGGTAGACAACTAAGCAACCACCATGTCTACCTCACTGGGGCTGATAGGTAGACAACTAAGCAACCACTGTGTCTACCTCACTGGGGCTGATAGGTAGACAACTAAGCAACCACTGTGTCTACCTCACTGGGGCTGATAGGTAGACAACTAAGCAACCACCATGTCTACCTCACTGGGGCCGATAGGTAGACAACTAAGCAACCACCATGTCTACCTCACTGGGGCCGATAGGTAGACAACTAAGCAACCACCATGTCTAGCTCACTGGGGCTGATAGGTAGACAACTAAGCAACCACCATGTCTAGCTCACTGGGGCTGATAGGTAGACAACTAAGCAACCACCATGTCTACCTCACTGGGGCCAATAGGTAGACAACTAAGCAACCACCATGTCTACCTTACTGGGGCCGATAGGTAGACAACTAAGCAACCACCATGTCTACCTCACTGGGGCTGATAGGTAGACAACTAAGCAACCACCATGTCTACCTCACTGGGGCTGATAGGTAGACAACTAAACAACCACCATGTCTACCTCACTGGGGCTGATAGGTAGACAACTAAGCAACCACTGTGTCTACCTCACTGGGGCTGATAGGTAGACAACTAAGCAACCACTGTGTCTAGCTCACTGAGGCTGATAGGTAGACAACTAAGCAACCACCATGTCTAGCTCACTGGGGCTGATAGGTAGACAACTAAACAACCACCATGTCTACCTCACTGGGGCTGATAGGTAGACAACTAAGCAACCAAATCGGCTAGTTTAAGACAATTTGTTTTGAAGACAATTCTGTTAAATTATGCATTCACTTTTACATAAGTTTTGGATATTTCACAAGGATTGGCTTATAGAAAGTGTTTAAAAAAACATATTTTCATGGCGTCACTGTTTTTGCTTCAAATCCAACATGTCTTCGCATCCAAAATTGTCAACACACTTTACATGGTGCTCCGTTAAAATATTTACAATCAAGCTAAAACTATACAGTAAAAGCAGAACACACAGTGGCTACGTTAGTAAGGCATTTGGCTTATGGTCTGAAAGTTGTAGGCTCTCTGGAGGCTGTGCATTGTTCTCAAGAGGTGGCTAGAGCTCAGTTAAGTGGATATTTTTTTACTTCAAACCTCTTTTAATCTTCAACTCTGAAAAAGTGCTCACTTAAAACTAGTGAGCTGGTGGCCATTTTTATATGTTAATTACGCCCATATGGCATCAAATGTATGTCAGATATTGTGCATGTACAAATAAGCCTCACTGGCCCGACTGCAATGATATATAGTATAGTCGTAGCGATTTCGTTGTTATGGAATGTAAACAATTAAACCGGAAATGGATTTGCTTGGTAACGCAAAGGACTTCCTGTCCCTGAATTTTAAGCGTTTCCATACTAGTCACTATAAAAACCCGAGTTACTCAATACTGGCTGTTCAGAAACGAATCCGAACACGCCCGATACCTGTAGCAGATGTCAAACTGCTGAATAGCATGTGTTTTTAGAAAAGACGTTTACTCACTAAAAAGTATTTTGTAATTTGGATTAGGGCTAGTAAATTCTTTAATATCTTTTTTTTTTTTTAGGCTTTCCATAATCTCCATTGTGGTAATATTTAACTCTGCGTCCATTTTTACATACAGATGTAAAATTTCAGTTAGATATGTTCTTTAATAGTTTCAGAATTTAATTTTTTCTGCATTCAGTCTTGTAAAATTTAGTTGAATTAGTTAGGTTAAAACAAAATGGCGGACGGCGTGAATATAAAAGCGTGTCTGTTATATATTGACAATGCTTATAATAGGAGCAAATTAATGTTCAGATAATGCAATTTTAAGTTAAAATAGTAATTTATCTTTGTAGTTTTATTACTTTTACTAAATTGAATTAGCTGAATATATTATTTTGATGATTTTCTGACACACTAGAAAATGGCTAAATAATTTTTTCAGGTTTTTGCTTTGCAAATGAACAGACAGTGCACTCACTAATCAAACAATGAAATTCACTGAATGCCATCGTGCTAATGTTGTATTTTTTTTTAATCTACAACCTTTTTAACTTTTTCTAATGCATAAATTATAATTTAATATGAGTAATTGTTTTTTGTAGGTATTTTTTATCTATTGACCCTCACATACAGAATTTCACGCAACATGCCTGGACTTCTTGATATTGCGAATAATTATAACAATCATAACTATTTTATATTTTATTAATTTTTTATATAAATAAAATAATAATATTACAAAAACTATTTCATTATAATATAATATTTAATATATGTTTATAATTATTTATAATATTATTAGTCTTTTATTTAACATTGTTTCTGTTTAACTTGATTTTTAGATTCTGATCAAGCAGTCACAATGACAGTGGCAAAAAGGACAGCAGCATATCTTAGATCACATCTGTCAGTCTTTGAGATAATATTTACTAGCCAGCAAAAAGATCACATGAGTCATAGATACGCTAATAAAGTAGAATGTACTTTCGACTCTTACCTTATGAAACGCTGCTCCGTGAAAACACAACATAAATCCAAAGTGAATCACAAAGGAACTTATTTAATAATTTTACTCCATGATAACATAGCACTGAATCACGAATCGGGTATGAGTGAATACTTTAGATTATTTTGAAAAAGTAAATAAAGTATTAAGCAGCGACTGGTTAAGAAGAGGGGGACACTGTGGTGAAATGCGCTCATTATCAATAAAATGAAAGAATAACTCGCAAAGACTGAAAAAAGGATTATGTTAAACCAGTAGAAGGGTGCATATTTTCACTTCGTTATCAAACAATATGGGGGTCTCCGTAGCAAAGTGGTCAAGCCGTTAACCTCGCGCTTGGAAGGTTGCGGTGTGTCCATTTTACAACTGCGTTGTTCGACTCAAAAATGACATTTTTTGGGGTTAGCGGGGACCTCTGAGGACTGTTGCTGGAGCTACGGTATTCAGGCTTCGTGCTAAGCTCTCGGCATGCGGCTAACCATTCACGGTTATGTGAAGAAAGACCAAGCCATATGAAACCAGTAACGATGCAATGACGTCAATCCGCTCGCTATCAAACATTTTTTAACAGTGGAGTAATAAAGCAAAGCCAATTTCGGTCAGATGTGCACACACACACACAAAAGTGACAGTGAGAGAAAAAGCATTTTTCAACAAATAGGAAGAGATACATCATAACACAGAGAATCGTTACAAAAGTATGCATATTACAGTATACGTTTTGCAAGACTAACTGGATAATAATAATTCATAAGGTATTTAATTAATAATACTGATAATTTGACCCATTTTTCTTTGTTAATTAGATTTGCATTACATCTTATTTTTAAAAAGGCAACAACTTTAGTTAGAGCTTGCTGCCCTCAATGCAATGATATATGGTTGCTAAGGGGTTCAGCAAAAAACATAAGAGGTGTAGACATAAAGCATACAAATTTTGTCACTTTAGGTCCAGTTTTTACTTGGGAACAGGCCGCCATCTTGTTTCTGTTTTTTTCTATTAAAATTTTTGGGAACACTTTCCGTCACTAAAACGTGAATATCTCCGCTTAGAACTGACATACAGACTTCACTGAGGTACCGTTGAACTCTGTTTTTAAACCTCTAAACAGCTATCGTGGTTTAAAAGCAAAAGGCCCAAAAAATAAAACTGGACTGAACACCCTTAGTAGCTAAGGGATTTGTATAGTTATTGCCATAAAAAGCAAACATTTAGTCATTTCAACCCTTTATTTTACTGGGACACACCTCAGCATCCATATTTAGTCAGTTTACACTACATTTTGTCTATCATCAGTGCCCCTATTAATTAGTGGTAAACTAAATTAATAATCTTCTCTTAGAATTGACATACAGGCTTCATTGAGGCATCGTTGGACCGGATATTTTAATCTCTTTCCAGTTGTGATAGTTTTTTAAGTAAAAACCCAACATATAAAACTTCATTAGCACTGCTACTATTATCCACCCACAATGAATTAAATACAGGATTGCTTTTGACCCTTTTGTAGATGTAGCAGCAGCGTATGTTTTATACCAGTGTTTCCTCAACTTTTCTTAGTCACGGTGCTTTTTTTTTTTCCAATATGACAATGTTTCCACGGCTCCTAACCTAACCTAAGCAAAGGTATGACTATTCGTATGTAAGAGGTAAAAAAAAAAAAACTCATGTATCTTGGAATATTTTGCGGCGCCCCTGTGAAATGAAAAGGTCGCGGCTCCCAAGACGCAGTCACTGTGGGGCACAGTTTGGAATTTAGTTACTGTTGTATAACTTAAACGGGATGTCTGTGATTTGTATGTGTGCGAATGGCGTACTAACAAATAATAATAATATCTCAGAGAGTGTGCACTGAATCCCCGGGCTGCAGTCCTGAGGTGGCAACCAACGAAACATCATCATCAACAAGGTAAGGAACAACACTCGACCTTTGACGTCTCATCATACTCATCGTGAATCCAGCAAGCAAGCAAGATTGATGATCCATAAGATATTGTCAAGAGATATGTCAGTACATTATTGTTATTATATTGGCAACGTTATAGAAATGCAGCATGCTAATAAAACAATCATTAAAAAAAAGTGTAGGGGGGAGGAAGACTAAATGACTTGAGAAACGTCAACGAAACAATTGCCATCAACTTGCCTTCCCGACCGTCAAGGAGGCTGCCATCTTGAGCTGAAAACATTTGTTTGATCGTGCTTTTCGTACTTGTTTATTTTCACTGTTTTTCTTCTTTTTTAAAAACTTTTTGATTCTTTGTCTCTTTTTCCTTTTCTTCTTAATCTCTCTCCCCCCCCCCCCCCCCCCCGTATTTTTCTTAACTTTTCCAATATTGGCGTGTAAAATGACATCAGATTTGAAGCTCAGCCATCCAGAGCATCCACACAACTGTACAGGAATATTCCAATTCGTCCAACAAAAATTCCAAATTTGATCCTTTTTCAGCCGCCCGGAGGCCTGCTATATCGAAGAAGGTTCCTTAGCTATCTTATATGGTTTCCTTTTCTTTGTGGTGTGTAGTCACACCTGATATTAGGGTTCTTTGCTTCCTTGCTGTGCTGCTTTGGGTCTGGTGTGGTCCAGATCTCTTTGTGATGGTATCTACGGGTATTAGCTGACTGTTGCTGGTGCTTGGCTTGCCTCGTGCTGGTTGCTGTGCTGGTGCCCTGTTGCTGCTTGGTTGCCCATCTGTAAGCCGCCGGAAAAAGCCAAACAAACATCGGTCCACGTCGTCATAAAAACACTGTTCCTTTTCAGGACAACCAGGGCCGTCACAATCTGTTGTGATCAGCCCGGTTTTTTTTTTTTTTTTACGGAGTGTGGAGAAGTAGTGGAGGTAAGATAGACTGCAAATGAGAGATCAAATTGCTCGAATGTGCCAGGAGATGTGATAGTTAGGTCGGGAGAATGAGAGTGACAGATAGATTGAGAAATGTGGCTTCTTGTCGCTGGAACTTCTGGTGGGTTGAGATCCAGTGGCCTGAAATAAAACTGAAGGCATTGTTAACGTTCATGTGATTTGGGGGTGGGGTGGCGTAAGAGAGTCTGGAATTTCCGAGTGCTGGTCCCCTTTGGTGCAATGTCTTCAGCAGTCTGCTTTAGAACGTCGGGTGGCCTTTGGTGGTTTCCGTTGTCAACTTCTGCCTGAAAGAATGTTAATTACTGATTTTGTAATCATTTAGGCCTTCCGCTGGTATTCGTCCTTAGGGCAGGGTCTGAAATAGGACTGAAAGGCATTGTTTTAAATACATGTGGTGTGGGGTTAGGGTGGCGTAAGTTAGACTGGAATTCCCTAGTGCTGGTCCCCTTTGGTGCAATGCCCTTGGCTAGCTGCTTGGGTTCCACTGTCTACTTCCTCCTGAAAATATACTAATTTAATAATTTAAGATTTGTGTTACAACTTTGGCATTTACGATGTTATTCGCCAGCGGACAGGTAGAGACAGTGGGGGGAGCATAGGTTTAGAGTGCTGGAATGCTTCAGAGACATAAAGCGAGGTCGGAAGAGTGAGAGGAAGGATAGTCTGTCCTGGCAGGTGCCGCTGGTACTCGCAGGTTCTGATCAGGTCCCATCGGGTTGTACAGCTCTGGGTTGAGGGATAACTTCTCAGATCGCTTTACCTGTTCTTGAAATAAACTTCTTGACGAGTCGCTGAATCTGGTTCTCAGCGCTCACGCTGAGGCAGTTTTCGACAGTCATTGGTTCGTTTCTTGCTCTAAAGTGTAACACAAGCTCTTGTCTTTCAGGTTCGTAGGTTTTACAGTTCAGCAGGAAGTGTTCCATAAAGTTGTTGGCCCTGCATTCCTGACCTTACAGGCGTGCGGGATCGGTCTGTCCAACACCCTAGTCGCATCTTCCACAGCTTGCGGATGACAGGTATAGTCATCGGCGCTTGCACTTGGTTCTTGAGAATGGGTTGTTTGAGTAATTTGTAGGCGACTCTGCCTTTATCGCTGGTCGACCACTGCAGGGACCACTCTCTGCAGATGTTGTTTCTGATGACTGCTTTTTGTTCTACTTTGCCCAGTCCCGTGAACACTGTGTTAGGGCTGCTGGTGCCTCTTTTTGTCGCTCTGTCTGCTGCTTCGTTGCCTTCGATACCTATGTGAGCTGGGATCCAGGCAATGGTTACCTGGCATCCCAGGCTCCTCAGTCTGGCTGACAAAGTCAGGATTTCTTCTTTCAGGTCTTGTCGGCTCACTTTCGAATTATCTTTTAATGATTGGACAGATGACAGCGAGTCGGTGAGGATAAGGAGCTTTATGGGCGGCCTTTCGCAGGCTAGCTCCAGCGCTTTTAGTATCCCTACCAGCTCTGCCGTACATACTGCTGTATCGTCAGTGAGCCTGTATTCGTGGGTGGTTTTCAAAGCTGGTATGTAGACCCCTGCCCCGACAGTACAGGAATAAGTAACGTTTTCGATTAAATAGCACCAATTTTGAAATGCAGCGGCGTCCGTGGCCAAGGCGTTGCGAGTCCGACTCGAAATCCAACGTACCGCGATCGAAATCCACTGCAGGCTGCGTGGATTTTTATCGTGGTATAGGACGTCGCAGGTCGACCCAGCCTCAAATGGGTGCCAGGATGGCTGTCCTGGGGAAGTAAAGACGGCCGGCGTAATGCTGACCACATTACCCACTGAGTACCGATCGGTCTGTATGCCTGATGCGCCGAAAGACGTGAAAAAGGTTCTTTACTTTTACTTACTAATTTTGAAATGCAAGTATGAGAATATAAACACTATGAGAAAACTGTTTAACATAATATTCTTACAAACGCTATGCTATCAATGTCAAACAGGGACACTGTCCTCAGAAGACAGAAGGAAAATAGTCACGACAGAAATGAAAAGTTTGCGCACTGTGCTCGGTGTAGGTGTCTTAAGTACGATGATACCAGGTGGAGAGTCGGCACAGAGCCAGAACTGAACTTTATAGGTAGATAACAAATCAAATGGTTTGGCCATGTCACAAGATTGGAATCAGATGGGGCACCACAGATAGCAGTGTTTTACAGATACACCGGTAACACAGCCAGAGGTCAACCACGCAGAACAAGAGCCGTTGAAAAATCAGAGACACTGAAAAGTAATTTAAACAAATTGAAGAGAAATCTGATCCGGCCCTGACGCCTCGAGACATCATTGCAGGGGTAGAGAACAGACAGAGAAGACTTGATACTGCTCCCGCCGTACATTTGCCATCCCAGCGCCGTCGTTACAGCCCTCACCATATACTTACCATCCCAGCGCCCTGGTTACAGCCCTCACCACATACTTACCATCCCAGCGCCGTCGTTACAGCCCTCACCACATACTTACCATCCCAGCGCCGTCGTTACAGCCCTCACCATATACTTACCATCCCAGCGCCGTCGTTACAGCCCTCGCCATATACTTACCACCCCAGCGCCCTGGTTACAGCCCTCACCACATACTTACCATCCCAGCGCCGTCGTTACAGCCCTCACCACATACTTACCATCCCAGCGCCGTCGTTACAGCCCTCACCACATACTTAACATTCCCAGTGCCGTTGTTACAGCCCTCACCATATACTTACCATCCCAGCGCCGTCGTTACAGCCCTCGCCATATACTTACCATCCCAGCGCCGTCGTTACAGCCCTCACCATATACTTACCATCCCAGCGCCGTCGTTACAGCCCTCACCATATACTTACCATCCCAGCGCCCTGGTTACAGCCCTCACCACATACTTAACATTCCCAGCGGTCTGGTTACAGCCCTCACCATATACTTACTACCCCAGTGCCCTGGTTACAGCCCTCACCATATACTTACTATCCCAGTGCCCTGGTTACAGCCCTCACCATATTCTTACCATCCCAGTGCCCTGGTTACAACCCTCACCACATACTTACCATCCCAGCGCCGTCGTTACAGCCCTTACCACATACTTAACATTTCCAGCGCCGTAGTTACAACCCTCACCATATACTTAACATTTCCAGCGCCGTCGTTACAGCCCTCACCACATACTAAACATTCCCAGCGCCCTGGTTACAGCCCTCAGCATATACTTACCATCCCAGTGCCCTGGTTACAGCCCTCGCCATATACTTACCATCCCAGCGCCCTGGTTACAGCCCTCACCACATACTTAACATTCCCAGCGGTCTGGTTACAGCCCTCACCATATACTTACCATCCCAGCGCCGTCGTTACAGCCCTCGCCACATACTTACTATCCCAGGGCCCTGGTTACAGCCCTGACCATATACTTACTATCCCAGTGCCCTGGTTACAGCCCTCACCATATACTTACTATCCCAGTGCCCTGGTTACAGCCCTCACCATATACTTAACATTTCCAGCGCCGTCGTTACAGCCCTCACCATATACTTAACATTCCCAGCGCCCTGGTTACAGCCCTCACCATATACTTACTATCCCAGTGCCCTGGTTACAGCCCTCACCATATACTTACCACCCCAGTGCCCTGGTTACAGCCCTCACAACATACTTAACATTCCCAGCGGTCTGGTTACAGCACTCACCATATACTTACTATCCCAGTGCCCTGGTTACAGTCCTCACCATATTCTTACCATCCCAGTGCCCTGGTTACAACCCTCACCACATACTTACCATCCCAGCGCCGTCGTTACAGCCCTTACCACATACTTAACATTTCCAGCGCCGTAGTTACAACCCTCACCATATACTTAACATTTCCAGCGCCGTCGTTACAGCCCTCACCACATACTAAACATTCCCAGCGCCCTGGTTACAGCCCTCAGCATATACTTACCATCCCAGTGCCCTGGTTACAGCCCTCGCCATATACTTACCATCCCAGCGCCCTGGTTACAGCCCTCACCACATACTTAACATTCCCAGCGGTCTGGTTACAGCCCTCACCATATACTTACCATCCCAGCGCCGTCGTTACAGCCCTCGCCACATACTTACTATCCCAGGGCCCTGGTTACAGCCCTGACCATATACTTACTATCCCAGTGCCCTGGTTACAGCCCTCACCATATACTTACTATCCCAGTGCCCTGGTTACAGCCCTCACCATATACTTAACATTTCCAGCGCCGTCGTTACAGCCCTCATAATATACTTAACATTCCCAGCGCCCTGGTTACAGCCCCCACCACATACTTAACATTTCCAGCGCCCTGGTTACAGCCCTCACCACA